TGCGTTGGATCTTTTTATTATTGTATATAAGTCCTTCTATTCTATATTTATAATCTAGCACCCCTATTCTTATATATATACTGTATATTATATTTGGCAATTGTGTTTTGATAATTAATAATATGAAATGGAGTAGTACTTTACTTAATTTTTATATTATATTTATTAATAATATATTTGAAAAAGACTATAAGTTTCAAGAAAAAAAAAAGTATTAATATTACCAAATTAGTCATATTGAAAGATAACATAGAACAACATAAAATAAAAATACATCATAAACCTTGAAAAATAACCCACAAATTTTGAAACTCGAAAGATTGTAATTTTTGCTTGTACGAATAATTATTTTATGTTCATTTCAACGTATTTTTATTTTTCATATTGTGCATTGTAATTTTCAATTATTAATTAATATATATTTATTCGTTTTTAATATTTATATGAATTATAAATTTATAATTAATTTATAAAATAATTTTCAAATCGAATTTAAAATAACAATGTGGTTTAATTTGTAAAGTTGTAATATATGTGGGTAGTATTGAAAAGTTGTAAAGTTGTTGTAAAAAAGAATATTCTGGGAATATTCTTTTGGGTTTGAGTATGAGTTTTTCGGTTGGAGATGAATTACTGTTTGATGTGACAGTTACTGCAAAATGGGTTTGAGAATGAGTTTTTTGGTTGGAGATGACCTAAGACATCATGGTCTAACTTTTTCTCAGTAATATTATATTATATAATAAAAAATACTTACATTAATGAATACGTTATTTATATATGTTGTCTTTTGTTTTTTTTTTTTTCAAACCGATAGATTTTATAACTCGGAAATCTACTAGGAATACATCCCGGGTTGAGTAATTCGATAAAAATATCCAAATCCTCAATATCTTAAAAAAAAGTAATTCGATAAAAATACCAAAATGTAGATAGTAGTAACACCTAAAAGGTGTACTAGAACCCTACAAAGGAAAGAAAGCATAAAGAGCAACTCCTGGCAGAGACGAGAAGTAATGATATCGGAGAGTTTCTCTTTATACCATGTTGCCGAAAGAAACAGACTAAAAATAAAAAGCAAAACAACCATTGTCTTACTCGGCCTAGCAAAGAGCAAATTGTACAAGAAAGAGAAAGAAAAACAACTGAACAAGAAAGAACCTAAGAACAACACAAGCTTACAACCTGAGAGAAAAAACCGACAAACCAACAAGCTAAAAGCAAGGTTTAGATATTAACCAAGGACCAAACACAACAACATCTGTTTTATAGATTTCTCGTGGGCAAGAGGTAACCGAGCTACCTGACTCTGGTCGTTCTCAAAGGATGACTATTCAGATCTTGGTTTACTATTTAATTGTCTAAATCACAAAAAAAAAAGGAGAAAATAAATTCTAAAAAATCTAATCAATTGGTTTGAAGTTGGATTAACACTAAACGAGCAATTAATTACGAGCAATAGCAAATAACGAGTAAGTAGCGAAATCGAACTACCGGAGTCTCATGCCATCGACGCAAAGAAAAGAAGAACAACTAACAAAGAGAAACATGCAAGCTATGAGCACTAGGTAATTAACCCTCACTCTAAGTCATTAAGCTCTAATTGAGTCTTAATCCTTAATCGATATCGACAAGCAATTAATCCCTACAAACACTCAAGCAAGAAATAAAAACAACCAAGTTCCAACTTTGCATCCGTCATCCACAATACTCACATTTACCTTAATAAGCATTATAAGTAAAAACGAGGCAAAAATCAAAAATGAAGAGCTTTACAGATAAATACCCAATCTTCTATTGCATAGTAGATGAAAATCGGAGTCAAAAGCTCGAAACTTTAACAAAAAGAAAGTCACCAGAAAAAACCGCTGGAAAATGACATAAGCTCCATAAGCTAGAGAGGATACATAGAACTTAAGCTAAATACCAAAAAAGGAAAAGTTTAATAAAGAAGCAAGATAGTTTAAAAACAAAGGATCAAATGTATTTATAGTGCCACACAAAAGACACACACTGATTTCACGCACATTAAATGAAACACTCGTGAGTTAACTCGAACTCGCGAGTGGGATCTTGATTTTCACCGGCAAAGGTGGAACTCACGAGCTAATGCGTACTCGCGTGCGGATGAGGGAAACTTGTGGGGTAGTAGCACCTGGGCGCAAAATTATGAGAACTCGCGAGGTAGCGGCTTTTCGCGGGCGCAGAAGAAGACTCGCGCGTGCAAGTTCTGGAATCTGCAGCTGGTTTCTAGCTCGCGAATAGGCCGTAGCTCGCGAAAATGGATTCGAGGGCGCGAGTTCTGGCGGAAGCTGAGTGCTAGGCTCAGAATTTTGTCCCGATGGCTGTGGCTCAACTTCTAAAGCTCTATTTCATTGCACTATTCTCCGATTTACTTTAAAATTCGATTCTCTTAATCAACAAACCAAATTCACCGACGAACTTTCATGACTACGCACTCGGGACGACACATCACGAAGCGACTATTCCTTCCTTCCCGGCCTACAAAAACACCAAAATGCACAAAGGAGATAGAAAAATACACGAATACGACTCAAAAACAAAAAGCTACTAAAACCGAACAAAAATGGACCGGGACACACAAACCAAACCTAAAAAGACTCGACCCAAGCCAATAAAAATACAAGAAAAACACAAAAAAAAGTGAGAGGAGGTGTGCTGGGTGGGTTGGCTGGATAGTGTTGAAGAGAAAGTGGGCTCTGGAAAGAAAGGACCAGGAAAAAGTGAAAGTGGATAGAGGGGGGAGAGATCCTGAGGTTCATTGACCTGGACAAAGAAAGGCCCAACATGAGGGGTAGAGGTCCAAGGCGCTTGCAAATGGGTGGGAACCAACCCAACATTGGGCACTGGTGTTGAGGCCCAGAAGAAAAAGTCCCGATAGAAGAGAGGCCCGAATAAACCAACCCAAATCTATGGCTTGTTGACCAGTCCCAATCCAATGGCCTAGAAAGATCCGCGTCGATAGCTTTGATAGGGCTTCATCTCCCTAACCTGTCGCCATAACTTAAAGCATTCAGAATGGTCGAAAATTTCATAGCTAACTAAGACAAGATCCCGTCTACGATTCAAAAAAATTCTACTGAAAGTGCGACCGAACCAAACACCAGTTGGCCGACGAGCTCAGAATGGAGGATCTCAACGTCGGCTATGATTGCCTTTAGCCGGTTAATCTATGGCGACAAGGTACACATAAGAAAGGCCTTTGTCCAACAATTGACAATATATATAAAAATATATATTTTTTCTTTTCTGCCCTTAGTTGTATTTTACATAGGATAAGTTGTTATTTCAGTTGACAACTTTGGTTCATATGTATTAGGACTATATAAAAGGCCTCACACAACTCTTGTAACCCTAAGTTCATTCTTTCTAATTCCACATGCGCAGTTTTCTTTTCCTCTCGTGTTCTTGATCTTGTTCATAGATCTTTTGTCATAATTCATCTAATTCATTAGAATCATGTTATGGTATTCGCTGGGTCGATTTGATCTGCTTTCCGTATATTCTCTTACTCTGATCTGTGTTCCTATATCGATATCATCTGAAATCGATCTGACACCCTAATTTCTATCGCGATGGCTACAAATCCCTCTGACGATCCATCCTCTGCCTATTTTCTTCACGCCAGTGATAATCCTGAAGCCTTGATAGTTGCCGATCAATTATCAGGCGACAATTATGTTTCCTGGAGTCGAGCAGTCACCATGGCACTGAGCGTGAAGAACAAGCTTGGTTTCATCGACGCTACGGTCACATCTCCATCTCCTACTGGTAATCCCTCTCTATATCTTGCTTGGAATCGCGCGAACAACCTTGTTCTCTCATGGCTGCTAAATTCCATTTCTAAGGATATTCGACAGTCTTTATTGTTTTTCACAAATGCTAAAGATGTCTGGGATGAGATTCGTACTCGTTATGCTATGTCTAGTGGTCCTCGTGTTTTTCAGTTAGAAAAATCGTTAAGTAACATTGATCAAGGTTCTTTATCTATCACACAATACTACAATCTGTTTAAATCTCTTTGGGATGAATATGTGACTTATAGACCTTTGGTTAAATATACTTGTGGTGCTTTTGTTCATTGTATATATGCTATGTTTGAAGCAATGGCTGCAGCACAACAACATAATTCTGTAATGAAATTATTGGTTGGCCTTCATGACTCTTTACTCTTCCATGAGAAGCCATTTTTTGTTGTCCACACCTTTACCTACATTGTCCACAGTATACTCTTTGTTATTACAGGAGGAAAGCCAAAGATCCTTAACAAATAATACTCAAACCACTGATTCCCTTGCTATGTTGACTAAGTCCCAAACCACTAATTCCCATGCTATGTTGGCAAAGTCTCAAAATCCTTCCTACAAACACCCTAGACAATATTTTGCCAAAGAACCTACTGCTAAACCACCATTCAACAAAGACAAACCCAAAACCAAATGTGTTCATTGTGGC